CTGTTCACCCTGTCATCTCTCAGCGCCTGCCGAGTTGCCATGTTGCTGCAGCACATAGCTGTGGGGGAACAGCCTGAGGAGCAAGCTCCTGGGTGGGAATCGGAAAGCAGATGGTCTCTGATGCTGTGCCTTCAGTGGATGAAGCCCCGAGGGGGCTCCCAGTGCTAGTGCCCAGTGGGCATAGGGATGTAGTGATCAGGTAACATGGGGATTGGCAGGCAGAACTCCCAGGCCCAACTCATTGAGCTGTTTACCTTCATTTAGGCTGACGCTCCTCCCTGAGATGTCACAGAGGACGAACTGGAAGCACTTTGTAAATGACCAAGCACTTCACACCATGAGGGTTCTGTGAGGGTCCGAGAGGGTGGGACCGTGGACCCTGATGCTTGGGCTCTCAGTCTAACCTGCCCAACGTGATTCTGAGGGGCATTCCACTCAGCCTCTACGGCACCTTGCCCCTGACCATCATCACCATAGCCCACTCTCCTGATTTCCAGTCTTAAGACGTTGCCACAAAGAGCCACATGAGGCTGGGCCCGTTTGAGCTTCTTCAAACATAATTCGCTGTGGCCCTCATGTCCAGTGTCCACCTTCCTACCAAGGGGCCGTGAGTGGCCCGAGGGCACAGGATGGCGAGGGCTGATGTGGAGGCTGTCTGAGGCAGGGCATGTGCTGGTGTGACTGGCTAGTGAGAATGAGGATTTTTCTTTCACATTTGTTAGCAGCCTGGATGTTATCTTTGGTGAATAGTCAACTCATGTCTTTTTAAAATTTTATTTAAAAATTTTTTAATTCTTTTTTCGATTCATGTCTTTTGTCTATTTATTAATTGGATTGAGATATTTGTCTTCAAGCTTACTAGTTTGAATTTCTATTGATTCAATTTTACTCCTTTACTCGTTCAATGCATTCTCTGGATTTCTATTTGCTGTTTTTATATGGCTTTTAATTTTTTCATTTATTTTTGTCAGTTCTTATCGTCTTTTCCTGAATTCTTCAGTTTTTTTTTGCTTTCCTTGATTTTATCGGCAATTCTCTCAAATTGTTGAAGGACTCTAAATAATATTCTTTTGAATTCCTTACTAGGTAGTTGCAATGCCCATTATGCCTGAGAAAAGTCTTCTGGCAGTGTACATTGGTCATTTGTTTGGTCCACTATGTCCTATTTCTTCTTGTGAACTGAAATTGTCTGTTGTGTCCAAAACATTGTGCTCTTGTATTTTTATTTAATTGATGAATTATGTTGATGAGACTTTAGTCACTCACCACTTGTCTCCTTATGGGTGGTTAACACAAAGTGGGTGATTCAGCAAGTACGTCAATCCATGAGACAGAGGCAGAAGGCAGAGCAAGAATATATGAGCACCAGGAGCCAGGGGGACAGGCTGGACTGCATCCTTAAAAACCTGCTTCCCCAAACAAGTTTACCCAAACTTACTGCCATCGAGTCAACTCTGACTCATGGTGACCCTATAGGGCAAGGTTTTCTCTACTGGAGTACAAAGCTTCAGTTTCTCCCATGGAGCATCTGGTGGTCACCAGTATGCCACCTGGGCTCCTAAACAAGTTGAGGGGGTGTTTTGTAGTCAGGGTGTGGGTGAAGAAGCCTCCTGGAGATAGGCTGTCTAGCTCTCATTGGAGGTGCAATTTCCCTTCAGGCTGCAGGTACTGTCCGCTGAGTCCTGACCAACAGATGGAGACAGGCTAACATTAACTTCCAACGGGAAACAGCACCAGTCAGTTCATCATGAATCCTGACAGGATGGCATGATCAGAACAAAAGGGAGGCAAAGGACAAGCTGCCTCAGCCAAAAGCTGAGTCTTTGTGTTCCATCCCCTGGTATTGCAAGCTTGTGTGTCACAAAAGACTTTCAGTGCATTTCTGTGAGACGTTCCTTACTTTTATAACCACTTAGACCAATGTGTAAGGATTTCGGAAGGTTTTTAAGGCTGTGGCCCTTCACTGTTTTTAAAAATTTTAATTTTGTTCATTTTAATGAATTTTTCCTTTTATTTGTGGAATACAAAGAAAAACAAACTTTATATAGCTGCACAGATCTCATCAGAATAGTGATGTCACTGCCTTTGTAGTTCCCACAGAAAATTCCAAAGGAACGTGGTCAAGGGCCTCTCTGGTGAAGCTCCTCACACCACTTCTCCTGCCAAAGCTTCGGGTAACTTCCTCCAAACACTCTCTTAATTGCCAGGTGTTCTTGTTCCGTGGCCCTGCAGAAAACCAGCAAGCACAATGTCGCAAGCACTCCAAAACACGGCGGTTGTGTCTTTGGTCTTGCTCAGTCTGCCTTTGCTGTCACTGGATAACTTCTACCACTTTGATGGTGGTTGGTCTTTAGGGTCATACTGGTAAAGCTATGTTTCATCTCCTGTTATAATTCTTCAAATAAAAAGTTCAGGATTTTTATGCCATTTGCTTAAACTTTCCACAAGTGGAAACTTGATGAGCTCACCCATTAAGTGAAGTTTGCTCAACTTCAAATTTTCAGTCAGAATCATATAAGCTGGATCAATTGAGATCTATTGTGTTGGCTATTGTTTTCAGTTAATCACTGGTCCTCTTCAATTAGGGCACTACCACGATTGATCTCCTTGGAAATTGATGTAGTCTGCCACTTCATGCTTCATCTTCAAAATCTTCTAGTCCTTTCTTAAAATAAGCTCTCCATTTTTAAACTACCAATGCCACCGAGGAATCATCTTCATAAAGTGTATGCATTGGGCTGCTAACCACAAGGCCAGCAGTTTGAACCCATCCAGTTGTTCCTCGGGAGGAAACTGAGGTTATCAGCTCCCATGAAGATTTAAGAGCCTATGGAAACCCACAGGGGCAGTTCTATTCTATCTTAAAGGGTCGGAATTGACTTGATGACTGTGGAAATGATTTTACCATTTTTCTACTCAAGCTTCTTGAGTAGAATGTTCATGTTGTTCTGGTAGGAGCTCTTTTCAAATGGTTGTCTTTTCCTTCTTTGTGTTTCAAACTAAACTCTGTCAGACATGCTATAACAAATTAGTATAAGTTTATTTTGGTGTGGACAATTTTTGAAATCCATTAATACACATTTTCAGGAATTTTTGGAAGATTTTTCCTATTTTACTTCATTTCTTCTCTTTCTCATTTCTGCCATTTAGTTTTGTAGAAACTACAGCCTGAGACTAATGTGTTTCGCGTTACCTTTCTGAATGTGTTTTCAGCGCAGGGAACGTACTTTTCTTCTAGTAACAATGGCGCACTGTCATCAGAAGAAATGAAATTCCAGGAGAATCTTCTGAGCAAGCAAAGCATTGTATTACTCTTAGTTTTATTAATGTCTTCATTTTATTGATTACTTCAAACATGTGCTTTCAAAAGCATTCTTCTACACAAATAGAACAAGAACAGTTAATTAATTGATACCTAAAACATGCACATGATTCTTATTCAGGTGTGTATAAGAAAGGGAAATAAGCTTTACATATTTTCTTTGGATTAAAGACATTTGGAAATTATTATTCAGGAGGGCCAAATGTTTTTGTGAAGCAAATGTGTTTTCCAATAGAAAATGCAGATTCAATTGAAATAAATTCGTGTTGATGAAGAGATCTGGAAAAATGTGATTATACTATGCATGATCAACAGGAAAAGGATTCTACTGGTCCAAAGATATTATTTCAAATAAATGAATCAGGTAGCATGAGTTGAAAGGTTTAGATGGAAGACCAGATGATATGATAGATCTGTATTCAAGGCACATGACTAGGCTAAACAGGCAGCTAGGTTCTATACACTCATTTGTTTCTTCATTGGGAAAGGGGTCAAATGTAATATACTTTCCACTTAATGGTAGATAAATACCGTCAAATGTCTCCCTTTCAGATACACACCAAGAACACATACTTATAACAGATACTAGAGTAGCCCAAGCAGTATGATTACAGATCAGTTTTCTTATACTGCAGTTAAAGGAATGATAAACTATTTTGCAATGTTCATGTACACCATACTGTCTACTCTCATGTTTCAAAAATTAATTCTTCAAAACTAGGCAGATTAAAGAATCCATTATACCACAAAGGATACTCAAACTACAAGGTGGCTTCAAAAAGGTTATGGGAAAAATAGAATTCAAAGATAATAGAAATATTTCCATGAACTTTTTGATACCCCCTTGTAATATTCAACAGCAGTCCAGTCTAACCACGCCGGACTTCACTGTTGATTGTATTGAACCTGGGCTTCTCAAGAACAGGGAAACCCTCTATGCTATCTCCTTTCATAGAGCTACAAGTGAGCATACCCACTGTGGTTCTCTTCTTTTTCTTTGGTGCTTCAGCAATTTACTTCCCTATTCCCTCCAATACCAGTTTTACGAACAATACAGTTGCCTTAAACATCCAAATAATAAAAAGGAATATAAAACTAAAACACAACCTTCAACAATATTTAAGCCATCATCTTCTCATATTAACTGCAATGTGGAAATAGAAGCTATAAAACTATTCATTATACAGTGAATTGCCAGCACGTTGAACTTTATTGCTAAAAGGAGGGCAAGGATTATTGTGTGCTTCTAAATGGGCTAGAAAAATTTTCCCCATCTGACTGAAATAAAATGTTTCATACTTGACTGGTCTGGGCTCCTGGAAATAAGCAGCACCAACAAGCTAATTTCAGTTCCCCATAGAACAATTGCTCTCCATTTATATGGTTCTGAAGCACCTAAAAATCTTCAAGAACAAAAGATATTAAGATGAGCTGTTAGCAATACTGCAGGTCTCTTGGAACTTTATGCACACAAACAAGAGTTCCTCCTTAGCTTCAGTAGGCAGTCCATAAGACTGGTGGGTTCCACCCTGTTCATAGCTTTGTGCAATTAAAAACAAAATCCTTTTGCTGAGTAGACAACACCAAGTAGACAAATCAAACAAACACAAGCCCCTTTTAAGGCTGTTGCTGCAATGATGGTTTGATTTTAAGTGCACTGGGACAAACCGGTTGATGGAACCAAAGATCAATCTGAAGGCATAGAAGAGCAGAAAATGAAGATGCGAGAAGAGGGTTGTGATTGATAGATACCACCTGCCAGCACAGAAAGGCTTGAGTCACAGAGACTACATTTAACTTCATGTTTTTTGCTATCCTTTGTAAATAACCTTTTCTTTATTTTTTCACACAGCTTGGCCATGTAAATCCGCCACAGATAGGAGACACGATGATATAGATGAAAACCTGGAAAGAGGGGAAGCAAAACGGAGGCAACTTACTGATGAGTCATTAACGGTAACAAAACCAACCAACCAAGTGCCTTTACTCCTTCAAATTATGATTTAATAGTCACTGGTTTGGGAGAGCATTTTATATGTAGCTAAATTTTTCATTATTAGAGTGATAAAATATATTTTAAAAATGAGTAGGGACTTTACATTTGTACCATATATGAGCAGGAATGTTGCCATGAACCTTTCACAGGATGACACAATAATTATGATTAATAAAATCAAAGAAAAATTGGTGATACTTGTAACACTGCAAAAATGCTAGTTCTATTATAATGTGGTAGCTTTTTCAAGTCTATTATTGTAATTTTAAACTATAATTTCAAATTTAGTATAAACTTGCTCACATTACTGCATACCAGAAAGTAGGTGCATTTAAACATTTTACACATTAAACATTCATTTTAGATAGTGAACATTAGGTACACTGTACTGTACTAAAATTAAATTTGTCATTTCATTTCGCTTGAAGCTACAATATTTGGAATTTTTTTTAAAGTCATGGATTCCATTACTTACATGCTTGGAGAAAACAAAATAGTTTCATGGTACCCCACAGAGTAAGCAAAGTGTTTTGTCTTACTTTTCTACAAATATTGGGGGTTAAGGTTCTTTTATACCAAATTCTGGGTCTTCATGTATAAGTTACACTACTCCTATCATACCCCCCCACCACCACACACACCACCACTCCTCCAAATGCAAAGTTCATTAACAGGTAAGCCATAAATATAATCTGAATTTCAAAACAATTCAGCTTCACAAATAAAGATAAGTCTCTAGACCACATGAGGAAGAAGTATAGGAGCTTGGAATGTGCTATCTGAAGACCCTGAGCAAGGGAAACATATAAGGATATGCTATTTCCAACAGAAAATTTATCTAAAGTTCTCACTTATTCAGTCAATCACTAATTGAGGCGTTGCTGTGAAGGTTTTTTGCAAATGTGATTAAAGCCTATAATCAGTTGACTTTATGTAAAGTTGACTGTTAGACCAGTGGTTCTCAACCTTCCTAAAGCTGTGACCCTTTAATACAGTTCCTCATGTTGTGGTGACCCCCCAACCATTAAATTCTTTTCATTGCTACTTCATCACTGTAATTTTGTTGCTGTTATGAATCGGGTGACCCCTGTGAAAGGGTCGTTCAACCCCCAAAGGGGTTGCGACCCACAGGTTGAGAACCGCTGTGTTATGCTAAAGCTTCTTAAATTGTGGGTATTGACCCTATATGGGTCACATAACTGAAAGTGGTGTTTGGGCAAAATTTTGGCAACAGTGAAGCAGCGCTTGCTCGTATTGCGAATTTCTTGGGCAAAAAGTTATTTCAGAGTCAATCAGTTGCAAGGAGCTCTGAACAAAACTATGGTTTGTCATTGATGAAGAAATAAATGCCGTCTATGGAAGGCAGCTTCACTCTTGGCCTAGAATCCCTGCCTGCCCTTCCTGACCACCTAGTTGAACACGTACCTAGCCAGTCCCTACACTTGCATAAGCCAATTCCTTGCAATAAATCTCAACATATTATCTCTTACTGGTTCTATTTCTTGAGGCAAACCCAGGCTAATACAATTAAAAACAAAACAGTGATAAGATTGACAATGTTTTGTGTTTTAGTAAATCTCTTTACTACCTGGTTTAACAGAAGACACCTGTACTCTCATCTCTTTCTGCATTCAGTTACTTTGATGAAAATTTGTCCTCCTGGACATATACTTTCAGAAGAGAGAGAAGTATTTGTAAGCCTTTTCAGATATTTCCTTGATATTACACCACAACTGAACAAATGGTAGTCTCTTAAAGGTTAGCTGAAATAGTTGAAAATATAATTATATTAGAAGCCGTCCTCTCTCTGGCACTTTACGAGAGTCCTGGTAGTGCAATGGGTAAGCTCTCAGGCGAGCATCTTTACAGGAGCAGATTGCCAAGGGTATTCGGGAAAAAGATCTGCCAATCTGTTCCTGGCACGAATACAACCCAGAACACCTTGTAGGGTAGTTCTACTGGCATGAGTCAAAATTGGCTCCCTAGCACACGTCATCATCATTAACAGCTTGCACTTTAACTGGATCTATTCTTGGGCAAGATTTTAACCGAGATCACTTCCAAAAGTTCACGGAAAAACTCCATTATCTTTTCATTCGATTACTCCACGAACTTTTTGAAAATTATCATGGGTGACCATCTGGAAAATTTTTATTCACTAAAAGTTATGGCAATCTTCAATGTTGATATGCTTCATTTTACAATATGAAGAAAATCAAATTTTTTATTATCATCGCCAATCTCATCAGAAAAGTCTTAAAGATTTGGAAAGTGTTCAAGTTCCCAAAGGTGAACAGAAATTTTCTAAATTCCCACTTTTCCTTTGAAGCTTCCATTTTATTACTGATTTAAACTGTCAGTTTTTCCTTTAAAATGACTTACGGTATTTAATTTGTTCATTTTTGAGAGATTTCATGCCTAATAGCCAAGCTTGAAAAGACACACTTTGTCATTCTTTTAAGTGACAAGGGTGTTCTGTGGGAAAAATACTCAAAACCCAAATAATTGCATAATGTATTTTCCTTGAGACATAATCAAATCTTTTCACTGCTTCATCAAGGACATTCTAAGTGAAACCACCTTTTCTTTTACTGCGAGTGTGTGTGATAAAGAATGCAATGACTACCAGTACGATTTGGTGTCACTGCCTTAATTCATGCTAAGGTGCCCAAGTTCTAGCCACCACTGCTTTTGTACCATCTGTTTTGTACCATCATGAAAACCATGTCTTCGTATTTTAGAAAAATAGTATTGACTTCATGAATCTTCTGATAGACTTTTAGGAACTCTTGCAAGTTCACAGATTACACTGAAAACCAATGCCTTAAACCAGGGTTGACAAACTGGTGGCCCGCGGGCCGCATGTGGCCCCCGAGGTAATTTTTTGTGGCCCATGATGCTCTGAAATAAAATGAAAATAGAAAAAAATGTTATGAAGAAAATAACGCTTAGGGGAAATCAAGGCAATACCATACACACAATTCCCTTGTTACATTTTATTTCCGAGCATCATGGGCCACAAAAAATTACCTCGGGCACTGCATGCAGCCTGCAGGTTGCCACTTTGGCCGCCTACCTTAGACCAATATGGAAATTCCCATGTATCCTAACCTGTTTCTCATTCATAAATTAAATAATGAAAGGAAGCATTCCAAGATCCCTATAAAGCCCCACAATTATTTATATTAAACATCAGTATATATAACAACACACATTAAAAATATCACAGATCTATTAGCATTTATCCCAGTAATAAAAGGGTAATTCATGAAAAATATATTTGTTAATGTACTCTAATATATTAATTCAATGGATGAAGAAATAATACTTTTTAAAATTGAATACCATTCCTGATAAAACTGTTAGTAATCTAGGAATAAAAGTAAAGCTTAGTAAGTTGAAAATACCTATTCAATAAGAATTCATAGTAAATAAATACCATTCTTAAGAATGAGAGAGGCATTCCCATAAAAGTCAAGGCCAGGAAAAAAATGCACACCAACACCATAGCTATTTGACATTGTTAGTAAATGCAAAAAATATTTATAACTTGATGAGATAAAGTTAACAGGCAGAATATTTACCTGGAGTAGGTACGAGCAAATTGAGAGCTCAGGATGACTCTTACATTGTAAAGCAGGGGTCCTCAAACTTTTTAAACAGGGGGCCAGTTCACTGTCCCTCAGACTTGTTGGAGATCTGGACTATAGTTTTTAAAAAAAACTATGAACAAATTCTTATGCACACTGCACGTATCTTATTTTGAAGTAAAAAAACAAACGGGGCAAAAACACCTGGCGGGGCAGATAAATGTCCTCGGCGGGTCGCATGTGGCCCGCAGGCCATAGTTTGAGGATGCCTGTTGTAAAGGGCTGTTTTTCAAAAAGGAATAACACGTGAAATTTCTGTGGCCCTTGATGAAACTTGACCTACAGCATGCATAAGAACTATTACACCTAGTAAGAGTTATGGAAGACAACAGATAGGAAATCGATCAGTTAGAAATTAAAACACAGAATCAAATAGAAAATAGAAGTGGCATTTAAGAATAGATGTTTCATAGTGACTTGAGAGCCAAGTCACTGCCTCATTATGTGTTTCACCATTAGATATGACAAGGGTTTGAATAGAAAACAGGTCGCTGCAGTCTGTGGATGACTGCATTCAAGTTTCCTTAGTAATACACTTGTATTAATCTCATTAGGGTGCCTTCCAAAAGGAGGGGGGGCCAATTTAAACAGTAGCCTGCAAGAGGAGCTGCTGGGCCAGTGAAATTCAAGGCGGAGAGGTCAGCTCTGAAGGTGATGACGACTTTCTTGAAGGACACAAGACAAACAGAGGGACTAATTAGGACAAAGTGTTAGGACATCATGCCTGGTGCAGTAGAGGGTCAAGGCGATGGAACTGGCACAGTGGTTACAACCACAATTGTGAGGAGGGTCCCTTCGCTGGCACCTCGATGGCACCCAACAACCACCATCCCGATTCACAATTCACAGACCTGCTTGAATTGAAATAGAAATACTTCTGAGACAAATTATGTGGAATTACTACTGAAAAAGAAAAGAGACTAGAGAACTACAGAGGTGAGAAAAGGGCAGGAAAGAGCCTTGGGGGACCCCCCAGGACCCCTCCCTCCCCCCCCCCCATCAGAACAATGCATCTGCTCATTCTTTGTGGGAGGGAAAAGCCATCCTATGAGAATTTCGCTTGGAAACCTTACCCCATCTATCTACAGCCTGATCTTGCCCCTCTAGTCTTCTTTCTATTCCCCAAACACCAAGAACATTTAAAAGGGAAACTGATGGCAACGATGACTGTATAACCCCACTCGAGTGGAACGACCATCAGAATTATAGGTGAATGGATACATGGGACGGTGGAAGTTGTAGCCAATATATATATTGGGCCTAATATATAATAAGGGTTCAGGGGGGCAGTTGGGTGAGGGATGGAGGGATTAAAGGGGAGTTGCTAACAAGGAGTTCAAGAAGAAGTATAATGTATTGAAAAAGATGATGGCAGCAATTGTACCATTATGCTTAATCTAATGGAACTATGGGTTGTACTCCGAGTCAAATGTTAAAATAAATAAATAAAAGAAACATGGTTCCTTGAGGATGTCCAAGCTGATATTTTGAAAAATTTCAAACTGACATTTTAACGGGGGTATACATGGAATAGCACAGAATCCTTTGGGAAAATATTCGGGGGAATTGTGTGTACGGTATTGCCTTGATCGCCCCTCTCATTTTCTTCATAACAATTTTTTCAATTTTCATTTTCTTTCAGAGCATCATGGGCCAATTACCTTCTGAGAAGATGGAGGATTGGTTGAGAAACAGCAACTTCAAATTTTCATGGTTTTGCTTAATAAGGTTTCTAGGGTTTTGTATCAATACTTTTTTGATTTGCCCGTGGGTGGGTGTGTATGTGTGTGCAGTTCATTTTATAGCACAAATCAATAAGATCAGCAGCTAATTTTTTGGAGAGGGAAAGCTACATACATCAAAAGGCCAAACTTACAATTGATACAATGATGATGATAATAGTGAGCTTCAAATTCTTCATACACATGGCTCGAGCAAGATTTCTGCTGGTTGTTTTGAAGGTGACAGACTACAAGAAAAGAAATAAAAAGAAAATTGATGCCTGGCATCGACTTTAATCATTCCATTTTCATCAATGAATTCATCTAAAGTATCAATGTTCTTTGTCTTGCCCTGTCTTTTTCAGTATAAACTGGTCATTCAAAATCACAAGTTCTTGAAAGCAAGACTTTTGTCAACCTGCAACAGATATATGACAGTATTCACATACCAAAACACAGGTACACTGATTTCAATTAAAATGGTTAAGATATATGGACCCAGTTAGATTCAGATTTGTGTTAGCCCCTCATCGGCTTCAAAGAGGAAGCAGGGAAAATAACATCAACCTCAGTATCTGCAGTTTTCTAGTACATTATATCTTGCATGTAAGCAAAATATATGAACCAGTGAAAAAGAGGAACATGTGACTCATAGGCAAAGGGAATGTAACCAACAGATGCAAACCCTCAAATGATTCAGGTATACAACTTTTCAAGCAAGATTTCAAAAACAGATATTATATCATTATAAAATAACATATAGTTAGTATAACATATGAAATAGTTATTATACTTGTTTGTGAGTTTGTCATACTGTACTGGCTTGCCTGTTGCTGGGCTGCAGAAAGCTTTGTCACTGGTGTTTCAAGTACTAGCAGGGTCACCTAGGTGAACAGGTTTCAGGGGAGCTTCCAGACTAAGAACAGACAACTAAGAAGAGATACGCGGTCTACTTCTGAGGGATTAGCCACTGAAACGCACTGTCTGATGTCATGCTGGAAGATAAGTCCCTCAGCTTGCAAGGAACTCAAGACACTACTGGGGAAGAGCTGCCTCCTCAAAGTTGACCCTAATGATGTGGAGCAAAGTTTGCAGGACTTTCATTTGCTAACAGAGCACAACTCACAATGAGAAGAAACATCTGTAAACATCCCTTAACCAGAATGTGGAATGTATAAAGTATGTATCTAGGAAAAGTACATGTCATCAAAAATGAAACAGAATGCAGAAAGATGGTTATTCCAGGCATGGATGAGCTGAAATAGACTGGTACTGGTCATTTTCAAGCAGATAATCATATGGTTTATAGTATTATTATAAAAAGAGTTGAAGAGATCTAGAAATATAATACTGTCTATGATAGCATTATATGCAGCTATAAGGAAGTCCAATCAGTACAATTATTATGGAAATTTATGCACCAACCACTAAAACTAGTGATGACGACATGAAAGAATTTTTCCAAAACCTTGTCTAAGATTGATCAAACATGCAATTAAGATGCACTGGAATGAAAAATTTAGAGACAAAGAGGAAGGAAAAGAAGTTGGCAAATACAGCTTTCATGATCAAAATGAAGCTGGAGATTGAATGAAAGAATTTGACAAGACTAATAATTTCATTGCAAATAACTTTTTTAACCTTCAACAACAGAAAAGGCAACTATCCACATAAACTTCTCCAGATGACACACAAAGGAATCAAATTGACTACATCGACACAAAGAGATTATAGCAGAAGCTCAATATCAGCAGCAAAAATTAGCCCAGAGCTGGCTATGGAACAGACCATCAATTGCTCATATAAAGTACAAGGTGAACTGAAAAAATTAAAACAAGTCCTTGAGTATAACACCATGTCAAGAACAGATTTCATGTACTGAGCACCAATGGCTGAAGATCAGATGAGTTACAAGATTGGGGTTTTCTCTGTTTTACCTAGTTATTGTTGCTGGGTTTTTGTTGTTGTTCACTTCCGGTTTGTTTTGCATGAATTTCCGTATATGAAATTCAAGATAGGTAACTATATAGAGACAGTAAGTGGATTAAGAATTACCTAGGCACATGGCAGGAGAGATTGGGGGGAACTGAGGAGCTAACAACAATGAATACAAGAAGATGTTTTCTGAAATTGATTGTGATGATTGCACAACTCATCTTAATATTGTTGAACAATTAAATTGGATGACATGTAAAGTATATGCCAACAAAACTATTTAAAAAAAGAACACGTGAAAAAAGCTAAAAGTCATTTAAGAGGCAGAAAAGACCAAAATTGATGTCAGAATAGACTCTGAAAACTTGCTCTTGAATGTAGAGCAGCTCAAGCTCATAAAGGAAATGATGAAGTACAGAGCTAGATAGAAAATGTCAAAGGACATGGAGAGGACAAAATAAAGTTCTCCAATAAAATGTTCAAAACCTGGAATTAAAAGCCCAAACAAAATAATATGCTCTTTCTCAAGCTGAAAGAACCAAAGAAAAAGTTCAAGCCTTGAGTTGCAATATTGAAGGATTCTCTGGGCAGAATATTGAATGATGCAGGAAACATCAAAAGAAGACGGATGTACAGTCACTGTGCCAAAAATAACTGGTTAATGTTCAACTGTTGATCAAGAACCAATGGTAATTTGCACTAAAGGCATTAGTGAAAAACAAGGCTCCAGAAATTGACAGAATACCAATTGAAATGTTTTAGAAAATTGATACAGGGCTATCTGGAAGATTTTTAAGGCTGTGATCCTTCTCTCTCTCTTTTTAATGCTGAATTTATGTATGTTTATGCGCCCCCCTCACCCCACATTTACACAGCCTATGGCATCAGAACAGTGACAGTGTCCCAGGAAATCCCTGGGTATGTGGTTCTTTCTTCTTTTCGCACCACCTTCCTTCCTCACTACTGGCTTAATCAGAGTCTTCAAAAATAATTTTCTTTGGTGCAAAAACAATTTTCTCCTTTTTATAATATGGTGTATGAAATATTTATCTTTATGAGATTGACTAGCTATGCTGAAAATAATATCAATTTTGACAGGCTTGTTATTGTTTTAAGGTTGCATACATATTCCATTGTATTTACCAGAGTTTATCCATTTCTCCACAGTTTTTGATTGTTTCCATAGTCTTACTATTATAGAAATTGCTGCTATAAGCATGGGTGTGCATCGATTTGTTCATGTTTTGTTCTGTTTTCTTAGGATATATATCATGTAGACAGATTGCAGACTCATAAGGTGTTTGTATTTACATTTAAGGAAGAGCCATCTTGTCTTCTGATCTCTCCACATCCTTTCTAGCATTTATCATTTTCTAGATTTTGAATTTTGCTAGAATGTTGGTGTGAGGTGGCTTCTCATCACTGTTTTAATTTTAATTTCTCTTATAGCTAATCAATGTGAGCATTTCTTCATGTGATTGTTAGCTGTGTGGATGTCATCTTTCATAAATTATCTATTCATGTCTTGTTCCCATTTTTAGATTGTGATTTGTTCTTCTTAAGAAGTTGTAGTTTTCTATAGATTTTTGAAATTATCCTTTACCTGGTATGTCAATGCCAAGATTTATTTTCAATCTGTGGGTTCTTTTTACTCTTTTGATGTACACAGATATTGTATTATTTTGTCTTATGTAGTGTGAATGTTTTTCATTTTGCTTGGTATTGTCTTTATGATTTGTATTAGGGCCTTTAAGTTTGTCCCTATTTTTTTTGTTTATCGATGGTCCTTATGAATCTAGAGTTTATATTTAGGTCTCTAATCCATCTTGAGTTCGTTTTTGTACATGGTGTGAAGTATGGGTCCTGTTTCAGTCTTTTGCAGCTGGAGATACAATTTTCCAGTATCATTTATTGAAAAGGCTATCTCTTCCCTACTTAATATGTTTTAGTCTTTTATCAAAAATCAGGTGTCTGTGATTACTGAAGACTAAAAGGATGCGTGTGTTGTTAAGTAAGTGGGATCCAGGATATGGAACCCTGAAAGAAAAGGGGACTGGACTGATGGATTGTAACATGTCCTTCTCTCTATTTAACAGAGAGATATTCATCTTCTGTGTCAGGATCCCTGTTAGACTTGTGACTACTTTTTGCTTTTGTTGGTGTTTATCTGCAAAAGATATTCAGGATAGGAAACCTTACAGAGACAGTGACTAGACCAATGGTTCCTGGGGGACATGGAGGGGGGCTGAGGCAGGGAGCCAATGTGTAACTTTACCTTCCATGTCTGAACAACTGAACTGTTTCTGAGAGGAATTACTGAAAGGTGAATGATGGGTAAACATAACAGTGGAGTGGGAGGAGTAAATATATATATTTGTTTGTATGTATACACACACACACACACATCTATACACATCTATCTATCTATCTACACACAGAGATGGACTTTGGGCCTCTAGTTAAATCTTGCCTCAGTACAAGAACAGTTTGTTCTAATAATATGGCATTGTATGATACTCACCTTCCCGACTTGATCACTAAAGACAAAATGGGTGCACAAGTAAATGTGGTGAAGAAAGCTGATGGTGCCTGGCTATCAAAAGATATAGCATCTGAGGTTTTAAAGGCTTGTAATTAAAGAAGCGACCATCTAACAGGGAAGCAACAAAGCCCACATGGAAGAAGCACACCAGCCTGGGTGATCATGAAGGGCTGATGGGAGGAGGTATCAAAAATTCAAAAACACACAATCAGCTTTATGTGAAGGGGCGTGAATGCAATGGAGACCCAAAATCCAGCTGCAACATGATTGGTCAGTCCCTCTCAGAAGGGCCACATGGAATGGATGATAGAGTCTGAGTGCGGTAGGACACTGATGAACCACAGAACTATCCTCTAGTTGTTTAACATTTCCTTCCCTTACTAGTAAGGTTTTTGTGTTTTACCCCATTGACCACGTTAATTTGCGTATGTTCATTTGTATACTTGGGATCACTTGGTACATGAAAGTCAAGATGGATGACCCCTCAGAGACAGTGACAGGAGTGGTGGCTCCTTGGGGGTATGGGAGAAGGGAGGGGGGAAGGGGGTGAAAGCGGAGTGGATAGCATCGATGTTTGAATAACCCCACTTGATGGCATTGAACAACAGAATTGTATGTGAATGGATTATCGAAATGTGTAAGATATGTCAATAAAACTATTATAAAAACAAATATTTACCAAAAAATAAAATAAAGCAATTATAAAAACAAACAAATAAAATATTTACCAAAAAAATAAAATCAGGTGTCTAGGTGCTTGGTAGTAATTCT